ATACCTGTGAAGAGATCCAAGATTTAGAACCTCAAAGCCAAAGTGAGAGCATTTGGGTCAAAATTAAGGGAGAGAAGAATAACAGTGACCTCATTGTGGGAGTTTACTATAGATCCCCAAGCCAAACGGAGGACATAGAGGATGCCTTCCTGGAACAGATGGCCAAGCATGCAAAAGGAAGGAGATAATAGTAATGGGGACTTCAATTACCCGGATATTTGTTGGATGTCAAACTCAGCCAAGAGCATAAGGTCAAACAGATTCCTCACTGGCCTTGCAGACAACTTCATTGTCCAGAAAGTGGGAGAAGCAACAAGAGGAACAGCCATTTTAGATCTGGTCCTAACCAATGTTGATGACCTGGTTAGTGGGGTAGAAGTGGAAGGATCATTAGGCGCAAGTGATCATGCTCTTCTGAAGTTTACTATACAGCGGAAAGGAGCAGCCAAGCATACTAGGACTCAATTTCTTGACTTTAAGAAAGCCGACTTCATAAAACTTAGGGAAGTGCTGGGTGAGATCCCATGGACAGTAATACTAAAAGGAAAGGGAGTGCATGATGGCTGGGAGTTTGTTAAGAGGGAGATAGTAAAAGCACAACTTCAGGCAATACCAATGAGACGGAAACATGGAAGGTGCCTAAAGAAGCCAGGGTTTAACTGAGTTACTAAAGAACGTTTAACTGAGTTAAGATTAAAAAAGGATGTGTACAAAAAATGGAAAAGGGGGGAAACCACCAAAGAGGAATTCAAACAAATAGCCAGCACATGTAGACACAAAGTCAGAAAAGCTAAAGCACAGAATGAACTCAGGCTTGCTAGAGAGGTTAAAAGCAACAAAAAAGGCTTTTATGGGTATGTCCGTAGCAAAAGGAAGAACAAAGAAACAGTGGGGTCACTCAGAGGAGAAGATGGTGAAATGCAAACAGGGGACACAGAAAGGGCTGAACTCCTCAATGCCTACTTTGCCTCAGTCTTCTCCGATAAAGAAAACAATGCCCGCCTGAAGAATTTGGAGCAAATGATTCAGCAGAGGAAACACAGCCCAGAATAACTAAGGAGATAGTACAAGAATACTTGGCTAGTTTAGATGTATTCAAGTCTCCAGGGCCAGATGAACTGCATCCAAGAGTATTAAAAGAACTGGCAGATGTGATCTCAGAACCACTGGCAGTCATCTTTGAGAATTCCTGGAGAACAGGCGAAGTCCCGGCAGACTGGAGGAGGGCAAATGTTGTCCCTATTTTCAAAAAGGGGGAAAGAGAGGACCCAAATAATTATCGCCCAGTCAGTCTGACATCAATACCAGGGAAGATTCTGGAGCAGATCATTAAGCAAACAGTCTGTGAGCACCTTGAAAGGAATGCTGTGATCACCAATAGTCAGCATGGATTTCTGAAAAATAAGTCATGTCAGACTAACCTGATCTCATTTTTTTGACAGAATTACAAGCCTGGTAGATGAAGGGAACGCAGTGGATGTAGCCTACCTTGATTTCAGCAAGGCATTTGACAAGGTGCCCCATGATATTCTTGTAAAGAAGCTGGTAAAATGCGGTCTTGACTATGCTACCACTCAGTGGATTTGTAACTGGATGACTGACCGAACCCAAAGGGTGCTCATCAATGGTTCCTCTTCATCCTGGAGAAGAGTGACTAGTGGGGTGCCACAGGGTTCTGTCTTGGGCCCGGTCTTATTCAACATCTTTATCAATGACTTGGATGATGGACTCAAGGGCATCCTGATCAAATTTGCAGATGACACCAAATTGGGAGGGGTGGCTAACACCCCAGAGGACAGGATCACACTTCAAAACGACCTTGACAGATTAGAGAACTGGGCAAAAAGAAACAAGATGAATTTTAACAGGGAGAAATGTAAAGTATTGCACTTGGGCAAAAAAAATGAGAGGCACAAATACAAGATGGGGGACACCTGGCTTGAGAGCAGTACATGTGAAAAGGATCTAGGAGTCTTGGTTGACCACAAACTTGACATGAGCCAACAGTGTGACGCGGCAGCTAAAAAGCCAATGCAATTCTGGGCTGCATCAATAGGAGTATAGCATCTAGATCAAGGGAAGTAATAGTGCCACTGTATTCTGCTCTGGTCAGACCTCACCTGGAGTACTGTGTCCAGTTCTGGGCACCACAGTTCAAGAAGGACACTGACAAACTGGAACGTGTCCAGAGGAGGGCAACCAAAATGGTCAAAGGCCTGGAAACGATGCCTTATGAGGAACGGCTAAGGGAGCTGGGCATGTTTAGCCTGGAGAAGAGGAGGTTAAGGGGTGATATGATAGCCATGTTCAAATATATAAAAGGATGTCACATAGAGGAGGGAGAAAAGTTGTTTTCTGCTGCTCCAGAGAAGCGGACACGGAGCAATGGATCCAAACTGCAAGAAAGAAAATTCCACCTAAACATTAGGAAGAACTTCCTGACAGTAAGAGCTGTTTGACAGTGGAATTTGCTGCCAAGGAGTGTGGTGGAGTCTCCTTCTTTGGAGGTCTTTAAGCAGAGGCTTGACAACCATATGTCAGGAGTGCTCTGATGGTGTTTCCTGCTTGGCAGGGGGTTGGACTCGATGGCCCTTGTGGTCTCTTCCAACTCTATGATTCTATGATTCTAGAACCGCCACCCCACTGGTGGCGTTTACCTAATAATAATAATAATAAATTTCGTGACAGCAGTCACGAAATTAAAAGACGCCTGCTCCTTGGGAGAAAGGCGATGGCAAACCTAGACAGCGTCTTAAAAAGCAGAGACCTCACCTTGCCAACAAAGGTCCGTATAGTTAAAGCCATGGTTTTCCCAGTAGTGATGTATGGAAGTGAGAGCTGGACCATAAAGAAGGCTGATCGCCGAAGAATTAATGCTTTTGAATTATGGTGCTGGAGGAGACTCTTGAGAGTCCCATGGACTGCAAGAAGATCCAACCGATCCATTCTGAAGGAGATCAGCCGTGAGTGCTCACTGGAAGGACAGATCGTGAAGCTGAGGCTCCAATACTTTGGCCACCTCATGAGAAGAGAAGACTCCCTGGAAAAGACCCTGATGTTGGGAAAGATGGAGGGCACAAGAAGAAGGGGACGACAGAGGACAAGATGGTTGGACAGTGTTCTCGAAGCTACAAACATGAGTCTGACCAAACTGCGGGAGGCAGTGGAAGACAGGAGTGCCTGGCGTGCTCTGGTCCATGGGGTCACGAAGAGTCGGACACAACTAAACGACTAAACAACAACAACAACAACAACAACAACAACAACTAATAATAATAATAATAATAATAATAATAATAATTTATTTGTACCCCGCCCATCTGGCTGGGTTTCCCCAGCCACTCTAAGCGGCTTCCACAGCAACAAAAAATACACAAAAATGTCACACATTAAAAACTTCCCTTAACAGGGCTCCCTTAAGATGTCTTCTGAATGTCAGGTAGTTGTTTATCGCTTTGACATCTGATGGGAGGGCGTTCCACAGGGCGGGGGCCACTACCGAGAAGGCCCTCTGCCTGGTTCCCTGTAGCTTTGCTTCTCGCAATGAGGGAACCGCCTAAAGGCCCTTGGAGCTGGACCACAATGGGGGTGGAGACGCTATTTTGGGTATGCTGGGCCGAGGCCGTTTAGGGCTTTAAAGGTCAACACTAACACTTTGAATTGTGCTCGGAAACGTACTGGGAGCCAATGTAGGTCTTTCAAGACCGGTGTTATACCTCAGCACGGCGCAGGGACTGACTGAGCGGGTGGCGAGATGCTTTCAGCCTCGAACACTTGGCGGGTTCTGAAATGGTCGTGCAGGCCAGATTCACGACCCTGGAGGGCTGGATTCGGCCCGCGGGACATAGTTTGAGGACCCCTGGTCTACACTGACTGGCAGCAGCTCCCCAGAGTTTCAGGCAGGGATTTCATCCGGCCCTTGCAGGAGATGTCAGGGGCTGACCCTGGGACATTCTGCATGCCAAGCAGATACTCTAGGGCTCCCCATATTTCCCTGCACTTTCAACGTTATGCTATTAGCAACCATGGAGATTCCACCTGCCTCTTTTGAAAGGAGAACACTCACCTGATCAATAATAATAATAATAATAATAATTAATAATAGTGATTTATACCCCACCCATCTGGCTGGGTTCCCCAGCCACTCTGGGCGGCTTCCAACAAAATATTAAAATACAATAGTCCATCAAATATTAAAAGCTTCTCTAAGCATAACAACCATCCATTTTTAGTCCATTGAGTTAGAAATTCAGCATTTCTGGAAGGGGAAATGGCATACTTTTGTATATTAGTATAAAAAGCATGCATAGGAAAGTATTACTCATTTATGATGAGAATAGGATTTATTTATTTTGAACTTTGCTCGGTTCCTCCTTGGCAGCCAGTGCAATGGTTTCAGCAGGGCTAGAACTCAGGACCCGCTGCCTTGAGGGACATCTAAGAGCAGTTGGGCAGGGAAAGGTCTCCCTTGGGAGGTGGTGGACTCTCCTTCCTTGGAGGTTTCTGAGCAGAGATCGGACGGCCATCTGCCATGGATGCTTTAGCTGAGATTCCTGCATTGCTGGGGGTTGTAATAATAATAATAATAATAATAATAATAATAATAATAATAATTTATTTATACCCCGCCCATCTGGCTGGGTTTCCCCAGCCACTCTGGGCGGCTTCCAATCAAACACTAAAATACAATAACCTATTAAACATTAAAAGCTTCCCTAAACAGGGCTGCCTGTTTAGGGAACTAGACCCGGCCCCCTCTTGCTTCGGGCTGGACTAGATGACCCTGGGATCCCCTCCTATCTCTCCACTCCTGAATTCTAGGAGGAGCTTCCTTGCCTCCTGCAAAGCCCTTTTCCCTGCAAGCTCTTCCTCTGGTTTCTGCCCAAGGGAGGGAGATGCTCAGAGTCCAGCCAAGAGCCTCACCCCCAAAAGGATATCTGGGCATTGGCGTAGCCAGGGGGGAAGCTGCCCCCCTAAATGCATAAGAAATAATAATAATCTGAGGATCTGCCAAGCGAGAGAGGGCTGAGCTGGAGGGACTCGGCTTGGCAAGGGTTAAAGGGAAGTGAGCTGCCTTCCTAGAGAGGCCAGGAAGCAAGGGGGGGGCCAGGTCCTCCAGAGCCAAGGCCCCTCCCTCCCCAGTCCTTTCCTGCTTTGGGGTCTCTCCTGCAAGGGCTGCCTCGCTGTCCCTCCTGGGATCTGGTGAGTCTCCTCTCTCTCTGGGATCTGGTGAGTCTCCTCTCTCTCTGGGATCTGGTGAGTCTCCTCTCTGGTATCTGGTGGGGGTCCCAGGGCTGCAGCAGGGGAGGGGGCCTGGGGGGCCTGATCTGCTCCTGCAGGGGGGACCCCAAGTCAGGGAGGAGAGGGTCCTGCCAGGGAGGGGCCAGGTCTGCCACGCTCTCCTTCCTGCAGATCAGAGGATCCCAAAATCATTTGGCCCTCCCCCCCTTTCAGAAAAAATCTCCCTTCTTTAAACAAAGGAGTCCCTGGAACTTTAACTCTGTGTGACGTTGCTCAGCCTCATTGCACAACAGAGGAAACATCTGCAAATGGTTTTCCAAAGCTGAACGAGGAGGTGAACACTAGCCCCCCCCCCCAAAAGAAAGGGTGGGAGAGAAAGGCCAGGAATAAAGAGAGGGATCCCAGCCCATAGTCTGGCTGCTGCATTGCAAAACAGTTTGTGTTAAGCTATCTAATAGAATAATAAAAAATCAAGGGAGATGCCTTTGGCCCCGCCCACTTGGCCCTCAGGGGGTTGGCCAGATACATTCCTGGCCCTCAGGGCAAAGAAAAAGAGACCTCACCCCACGAATCTGTCTGGACAGCGGTAGAGATTGAAGAAAAGGGGACAGAAGCAGGGAGTGGAGGTAGGGTGGGGGTGGGGGGAGCAACTCCCGAGGACCCCCAGGTCAGGACCCCCACTAGAGAAAAGCATCCATTTATCACAAGATATAAATGACTCCCTTGTCATTCGGTTCTGACTTCATGCATTGACTGGAAGGAAGAAGAAACCAGGTTGATTAATCTGACAGAAATCCCTTCAGTTGCCTCCACATTTTGCATTGCTAGAAGGCTAGAGACTTATTTCTTCTCCTCTTCTTCCTCCTTTTCAAAAAGATAGCTCAAGGTCTGGGATCTGGTGCAGTCCAGCCCTGGTTCCCAGCAAGACTCAGGGAACCATTTCCCCCCCCTGTCCTACAAATTCTGTAACAGAACAATGTATTTGCTTTGTAGGATTTGCTAGAGCTTCTCATTTAGACGGACAGAATTTGGCAGAAGACCAAAGGGTTCCTTCCGATCTCTCAGAGGCTTCCTGAGAGCACAGATGGATGAGCAAGACTCAGCTGGCCCTGGAACAGGAAGAGGCCATGCCAACCAAACTGGGAGCAGTGGGGGTTTTTGGGAAAACTCTGTGCAGAAGATCCATGGTGAGGTGGACACCCTCCGCTCAGAGGTGCAGAGCCAGCAGTTGAGGCAGTTCTGCTGCCAGGAGGCCAAAGGACCCCGAGAGGTTTGCAGCCGACTCCACCACCTTGACCATCAGTGGCTGAAGCCAGAAAGGCACACGAAAGCTGAGATGCTGGACCTGGTGATCTTGGAGCAGTTCCTGGCTGTCCTTCCCCCGGAGATGGAGAGCTGGGTGAGGGAATGCGGAGCGGAGACCAGTTCCCAGGCGGTGGCCCTGGCCGAAGGTTTCCTCCTGAGTCAGGCAGAGGAGAGGAAGCAGGCAGAGAGAAAGCAGGTGAGAGAGACTTTCCTCTGGATACTCCCAAGGGGCTCCAAACAGGACAGAGAACATCCCATAATTGTCTCCTTATGGCCCATTTTCTGGGAAAGCATCCATGGAATGAGATCTCGCACCCTTCAAGTCTTTGTCATTCTCTTTCTAGTATTTCTTCCCATTCTCTGTTTTGAATTCTTGTTTCTTTCTCAGGGAAAGGATCTCTTTGCAGAAATGGACCTGGATTCCTGTGAGGCAGAGAGGCCTCCGTTGGACACCAGAGAGAGGCCACTGGGTAAGGAGGAAGGTGGTTTTTCTCCGTTTGGTCTCATTCTGTTGGTTTTCCAACACATCTGAGGGTTCTTTTCATCTTGTTTTGGGGGGAGACAGTTGGGAAGAAGGGTCCAGAGGAGGGGGGATGTATTTCTGCACAACTAACATATGAAATGGGCACAAACGTCCAAATACTCTCAGCAGGTAAGGCTTTCTCAAAGGCCCATCTGTAGTTAGAGATACCCTGTTTCACCTGTGAGAGAAGCAGGCACTCTGTTTATGTCCTGTTTACGTTTTTTCTCTTGCAGGTGACGGAATGATGCCGGCAAGACCTCCTGATCCGCCTTTTCATGGGGGCAGAAGGGAAGCAGCGGCTGTGGAACCAGATCAGGTCAGGGGAAGCTGCCTTGTGGGGACAGAGACCGAGGGATGGAGCAATGTCATGGACTGGTTGGGCACAGAGGAATGGTGGGAGGAAGCAGCCGGGAAACCAGGAAGGGAAGATGGCTCAGAGCCCAAGGATTGGAGGTAGAAGAAGGATGGGTTGTCAGAGGGGGAAGAGGAGAAGCCTGGGAAGAGGAGGTGTCAGAAGCTGAAAGGGTAACAGGGCTTAGTGAGCTGGGAGACTCTGTGGCAGAATGCAGTGCAGAATCAGAGGCAGAAGAGGAAGGAGGCGAGTGGGAGAGGAAGGTCGAGAGGAAGAGGTAAGTCAGGAGAAGGAGGAGCCACCGGTTTTTAACCCTCTCCTTTTGCCAGAAGCCACCCTCCCTACTTGTCTCTCAGAGCCAGGAGACCCCCTGCAATGCAGGAATCTCTGCTAGATCATCCAAGACAGATGGCCATCCAAAAAAGGCTTATTTTATTTCTAGACTGATCACTGAATGCAAAAATAGGTATCTTAAGCAGAGTACAAATGAGAACAAATAGCGGCCTGGATTCACCTAACCAGCCCCCTCCCCATTCCTCCATGAATCCCTTGAATTTGGCTTTACGGCATTGGAAAGGAACTTTCCCAGAACAGCACATGAGGAGAGGAGAAAGTGGATCCTTCCATCAGGCAAACTGGAATGCTTGCGTAGGCAGAATGATTTGAAAACCACATGTGGAGTACCACCTATTTGCACAAAGACAAATACCCATAATTAAAACGCAGATTAAAATAAGCATCCATAAATAAAATGTGCAGCAAAGCAATCCTATTGAAACAACACAGCAATTTACAGGAAGGAAACAGAGCATTGTGGAGCAGATCATATTTCTGCTGTCTCAGAGGAGGACATTTCCCTTTTTCTTTTAGGGTCCAGTGTGCTTTGAAGATGTCGCTGTTCGTTTCACGGACGAGGAGTGGGTGTTGCTGGATCCTGACCAGAGAGCTCTGCATAAGGACGTCATGGAGGAGAATCGTGGGATCGTGGCCTCTCTTGGTAAGGCTCCCTGTGGGATCGTCATATCTGCCTGGAAATTCAAAAAATACGTCTATGGACCAACCTCATATATTTTCACAGAGCTCAACAGCGCCCCCTATAACACCTGGGAACCTAACACCCCCACAATAAAGAGTAACTTACAGTTTTTTCTTTGAACAATCTTCTTCAAAATATTCCTTTTTCTACCACGATTGGGCTGGTCTGAACTGCCTAGGCCATCTTAAATGTCAGCTTCAGAAAGATAAGTAGCTTCAGGTTTTCTGTTTTTGCTCCTGTCAGTCTTGGATTGACCAAAGAGATGACTGACATTGGAGATGGAGGGGATGCCATGACTGGGCCGAACAAAATTCATCCCAGAGAAGAGCTAGACTTATTGAATTTCAGATAGAAGTAGCAGTGATGATGATGATGATGATACAGTGGTACCTCAGTTTACAAACATCATAATAATAATAACAACAACAACAAGAAGAAGAAACTTAAAATTTCCCGGAAGAGGACTGTTCTTAAATCAAGGTACCACTGTAGTAATAATAATAATTTTTTATTTCTACCCTGCCCATCTGGCTGGGTTCCTCTAGCCATTCTGGGCGGCTTCCAACATATATATAAACATGAAACATAAATAATTATAATCTGATCCCATATAAAAAGAACATTAACTTTATTTTTTATTTTTTACCAATCAATTTTTATTGTTTTCTTTACACAGTCATTTTACAATACATTAAATCACATATATACTTTTAGCTCTGCCGAGCTTGCGACTTCCCTCCTTCCCTTCAGCAGGTATCCCTTATTTTCTCCAGTCGCGTATTTTAATTTCTAACCTTGTATCTGTCTTATACATTGTAGGAGTTATTTTAAACCTGCCAGTGTTTTTAAATTTTTACAATTATCCTTTAAGTACACAGTACATTTACTCCAACTTTCCTGAAATCTCTGATCGTCCTGATCCCGAATCCTGCCGGTCAGTTTGGCTAATTCCGTGTAGTTCATCGTTTTCGTCTGCCACTCTGCAGTGGTGGGAACTTTCCAGTTTTGGGCCAATATATTCCTTGTTGCCGCTGTGGCGTACATAAATAGCCTTTGGTCTGTTTTCTTAGCCTCCTTCCCCAACAAAAAAGCCTCTGGTTTTTTGGGAAAGGTATATTTAAGTACTTTCTTAAGTTCATTATAGATCAACTCCCAAAAATTCTTGACTTTATCACAAGTCCACCACATATGATAGAAGTCTCCATCCACCTTTTTACATTTCCAGCATTTCTTATCCCTCATCCTATACATTTTTATCAGTTTTACTGGTGTCAAATGCCACCTATATATCATCTTCATTAAATTTTCTTTTAAAGCCGTACACGTCGTGAATTTCATACTTTTGTTCCATAATTTTAGCCATGCATCCAGTTCAATAGTATGCCTAAAATCTATATCCCATTTTATCATTGCTTCTTTCGCCTCTTCAACTTTTGTAAACCATTCTAACAACAAATCATATATCTTAGATAGTATTCTACCTCTGCCTTCCTCTAATTCTAACTGAAATCTTGATTTTTTTATCCTTAAACCCAGCTTTCCTTTTATCCTCACTCAATATATCATTCACCTGATGGTATTGCAACCAACCTGTAAACATGCCTTCTCTTTACTCTTATGGTTTAAGTTTTAACCCTTGTTCCATTTTTCTAATAATTTCCTCATAGGTGGCTCACCTTCCTTCCATATTTACTTTTTTAACTGTCAACACCTCTATTGGCGATATCCACCATAGGGTTTTCCTTTACAATAAATATTTGTTTCTTTCCCATACTTCATAAATTGACCTTCTGATCACATGGTTTAAAAAAACCTTTTTGAACTTTTACCTTATCATACCACAGGTACGAGTGCCACCCGTACCTGTTGTCATGACCTTCTAAATCCAATAGGTCCGTATTTTCCAATGTTATCCATTCCTTTAACCATACGAGACAAGACGCTTCATAATAGAGATTCATAGCTGGTATAATAATAATAATAATAATAATAATTTATTATTTATACCCCGCCCATCTGGCTGGGCCTCCCTAGCAACTCTGGGCGGCTTCCATAGAAACCAAAAATACAGTAAAATATCACACGTTAAAAACTTCCCTGAACAGGGCTGCCTTATGGCAAATCCACCTCTTTCTTTTTCATCTATCAACATTTTCATTTTGATCCTCAGCTTCTTTCCCTGCCAGACAAATCTTGACACTATTTTTTGCCATTCTCTACATTGTCCTGTCCCTTTAATCAATGGAATTGTTTGGAATAAGAATAACATTCTAGGTAAAACGTTCATCTTAATCACCGATATTCTGCCCAAAAAGGATAATTTCAAACTGTTCCAAATTTCTAAATCCTTCTTAATCTCTCTCCATGTGGTTTCATAATTATCTTTATACAATTTTTTCCCCTGTTGTCAACCAAATTCCAAGGTATTTCACTTTCTTAACCACCATAATTCCTGTCCTGTGTTGCAATTCCTCTGTCTCTTCTTTATTCATATTTTTTACCAGCATTTTGGTCTTATTTCTATTGAGTTTGAATCCCACAACTTTTCCAAATTCCTCCATTCTCTCTAGGGCTTTTTGTACACTGTTCTTTGGTCTTCTAATGTTAAAACTAAATCATCAGCAAACGCTTTTACTTTAAACTCTTTCGATCCCACCTTAATACCTCTGATTTCTGACACTTCTCTCAAATTCTTGTTTAATACTTCTGAAACCGTAATAAACAACAGGGGTGACAAAAGACACCCCTGTCTGGTACCTTTAGAGATTTCAAAGTTGTCAGACAAATTATTATTTATAATAAGTTTGGCTTTTTGTTCTGAGTATATAGCCTCAATACCTTTCAAAAACATTTCTCCTATTCCCATTGTTTTTAGGTTTTCTTTCATAAACCGCCATGAAACATTATCAAATGCTTTCTCTGCATCAATGAACACCAAGGCCGCTTGTTTATCATTTCTAGACTCCCAAGTACTCAATTATAGCCACTATGTTCCTAACGTTGTCCTTCAGTTGTCGCCCTGGTAGGAAACCAGCTTGATCTTTATATATTACTTCCTTTAAAAGTTTTTTTAATCTGTCGGCCAGCACATCCGCAAATAATTTATAGTCATTGTTCAATAAGGAAATAGGTCTATAATTTTTAACACTCAAACCATCTGTATCTTTCTTTGGGATTAAAGTGATGTACGCCTCTTTCCAGGTATTTGGAATTTTCCCTTCCTTCAAAATGTTATTCATAACCTCACACAGCACAGGTAATAATGGTCCACCTAGTGTCTTATAATATTTTGCCGAAATGCCGTCAGGGCCTGGAGCTTTCCCTATCTTCATTTTCTTTATCGCCTTCTCAATTTCTTGTTCTGTAATTATCTGGTTTAATTGTTCCTTTTCTCATGGGGGGATCTGCTGTAATTGATGGCTTCGTATATAATTTTCTGTTTTCTTACCATCTTCTTTCTCTTTCTTATCTTTATAAAATTTCAGAAAGGTCTTTCTAATTTCTTTGGGGTCTTCAATGATGTTTTCTGCCTCTCTTATCTTACAAATTGTGTTTTGTTTTTGTCTTGCCTTTAATTGCCACGCCAATAATTTTCCAGTTTTGTTGGCGGATTCAAAATTCCTTTGTCTCATTGTTTTTATTTTCCACTCTACATCCTGACTCACCAACATAGAGAACTGAGTCTGCAACAATTTAATATTTTGTCTTATTAGCTCATCTTTTGGTTTTATTGTCAGCAGTCTCTCATTCTCCATGAGATGGGCCAGGATTTCTTCTTTCTTCTTCTCCCTTCCTCTTTTCTGAAAACTGTTCTTTTGGATCAGGAATCCTCTCATTACAGCTTTGTGTGCATCCCATACTGTTTCAATGGGTGTTCATTGTTTAAATTCCACTTAAAGTATTCTGTAATTGTCTCTTTTGCCTGATTTACTATCTTTTGGCCATTGAATAAACTTTCATTCATCCTCCATCTGAATGATGAAGGGTCTTTTCCTTTTAATTCCAAATATAACGGATTATGTTCTGATAATGTCCTTGGGAGAATCTCAATTTTGGAAATTCTTGGCACCAATTCATTAGAAGTCCAAATGTAATTTTTTCTACCAAAGCTTGGATTTGGATCTGAAATGAATGTGAACTGTTTTGTTGTGGGATTTCTAAGTCTCCAAATATCTGTTAGCCCCATAGTGTCTGCCATATCAAAATATGTTTTTGGTAGTTTACCTTCATTTGTGTCTCACCTTTTCGTTGCTCTATCCAAATCTGGAATATCCACACCGTTGAAATCCCCCATTACTATCACTCTCTGATCCAAAAATTCTGATAATGTTTCACTGAGCTTCGAATAAAAGTCGGCTTTTTTGTCATTAGGTGCGTAGATTCCCACAATGATTACCTTTCCCCCCTGGAGCGTAATTTGCACTATCAGCACTTTCCCCTCCTCATCTTTATAAAATAATTTTGGGTCATATTTCTCCTTTATATACAATACAACCCCTCTTTTCTTGTTTGTGTCTGAGGCAATAAAGTCTCTCCCCAATCTTTTATTACTTAAAACCCGCTTATGTTTCCTTGCGACATGTGTTTCCGGTAAACAGGTTATATTTAAATTCCGTTTAATCAAGACATGTTCGATTTTGTTCCTTTTATTTTTATTTTCAAGTCCATTCACATTCCATGAAAGTATTTTCAGAGCCTTTTTCTGGTTTGTTCAAGTCTACTATCAAGTCCAAATCAAACTTGGAGGTCCTTGTTATTATTATCCTCTTCTCCCTCTTCTTCTTTCTCCTCTTCTTACTCTTCCTCTTCTTCCCCTCTCCTTTTCTCCTCTTCAGACTGGTCCCGTCCTGGTCTTACCTTCTCCACTTTTCCCAACTCTATATCATATCTTCTGGAGAATTTTTTCCAGATCCTGAAGGCTACTTAGTTTGAACCTCTTGTCTTTGTAATTGAAGGAAATTCCTTCTGGAAATTCCCATCTATACTGGATTCCATTTTTCTTTAACTGGCCATCTGGTTGGTGGCAGCGGATTAGTGGTGTACGGGTCAATAGTCCGTGAGATGACTGGGGGCTCCATACAAACACCACAGTTGGCTCCATAGATTTCTGATTGGGTTAATGTTTGGGCTATTCCCAAACCATTCCAGCAGTGGAATAGGATTATCTTTAAAGCACCTTTTGCACACAGCAACGACATGGAGCTGAATCCTGTTGAAAGAGGAAAGAAAGAAAGAAAGAAAGAAAGAAAGAAAGAAAGAAAGATTTGTATAAATATATATAGAAATGCTTCAGTATCTGGGAAAAGATCACTTGTGGAACGCTTCAGTTTGGGCTCAAGTATTTTATTTATATTTGGGGGCATTTACATTCCCATTAATGATTCAAATTCTGCCCACACTTTTGCTGACATACAACCCCAGATCATCACACTACAGTGGAAGCTTTACTTACAACCATAATCCGTTCCGGAGGTCCGATCATAACTAGAAACGTACATAAGTAGGGGCACCCTTTTCAAGAGAAAGTAATGGAAAAGTGAATTGATCCATTCTAGACGATGAATAACAGCCCCAAAACAGCAATTTAACATGGATTATACTCTCTAACAAGACCATAGATCCATAAAATGAAGGCAATAATAACGTACTGTACGATAAAATAAATAAGACAGTATTGTAGATGGGGGAAAAAACGTTTTTTTCTTCTTACGTGCACTGTGGATGGGTGGGCTTATCTGGCTACAAGCTGGGGGTGGGGCAAGGGTCAGTAAAGAGCTGATTCACTTTGGCCAGGGTCATGCTTTTTTCTTGCCAGGCCAGGTTCTTCTCTAGACTTCCTCAGGTTGGTTCCCCAGCGGGGTTTGGGGCTGCAGTGCGCCCTGCTATGCCTCTTGCAGGCAGCACCTCTTCCACAGATTTGAGGGTGGGATGGGGGCCCTCTCCCCAGCAGCAGAGGCCTCAGTGCTGCTCCGCAGCTGGCGGGGAGTGTTCCAGTAAACTGAAGACCTCTCCCCGGCGGCAAAGGCTCCATCGCTGCCCTGCAGCCGGCCGGGCGAGCTCCAGGCTGCTGGCAAGACCTCTGTCTCTAGAGGAAAGTTCATAAGTCGAAGCGCCTACTGAAGGTCATAACTGGAATGGTACAAAAGTAGAGCCGTACGTAAGTCAAGGATCTACTGTTTCCGGGTGTTTCACGGTCGGTGTAATGCAAGTAGGATGTAAATGTTCTCTGATCCTTCTCCTTGCATGTTTCATGCCATCACTACCAAGCAAGGAGATTTGGGTCTCATCGCTCCAAATAACACTGTCCCATTGTTCCACTGTCCAGTTAACATGGGTTTAATCTTTTCAACCTTTGCTTGAGAGATAACAATGGCTTTTTCCTTATAATTCTAACATTTAGACCAGTCCTTGCACTTAACTTCACATTACATTGCACCATGTCATCTTGTATACACCCAGATGATTTTCTTCTGTCATGTAGGGACAGTCTCTCCATTCTTCAATCGTCACTTGCCTTTGTGACCTTTTCCTGCCTTAGCCAGTCTGATTTTGTAGTGACTGAGTCTCCTTATACCTCTTCAAAAATATAGAAAGGCCAGCTTTGGTTAAGTTTTTCCTAATCTTTCATCTAATTTCTTCATAACTGTAGCCTTGTTCACTTAATAGTATAATTTTACATCGCTTTCTGGGTGACCAGTCAACGCTTTGTGCCATTTCTATAATTTTATTATGTTTTACAACCTCACTAAATGAAAGAACACAAAAAACCAACTAACTTGATAGCAATCACATAACACACTGAAAATGTCAACCTAAGCAAGTGGTGCCTCCTTTTTCTGGTTATTTGGCTATAATGTTTGATAAAATACAGGTAATTGAAGAAACTTTGTTGGATTGCTTTCTTGATTAAATTACCTTTCCATTGATATATAATTTTATGATATTACTCCAAAAGAAGTGGTGTTTTGAGCCATCAAACCTCTGAAATACACTTTTTTCTAAAAGGCTTCCACAATTTTGACCACTACTGTATATCAAATAAAGCAACATTCAACAACTCATCAGAATCTTATAATAAACAAACAACACAGGTAATGAACACACACCCAATTACCTTCAGTTCTTCTCCATTTGTTCCTGAGGCTCTAATCCCTTTTTGTTTCCATTGCAGATTGTGATGAATTGGAAATCGAGAACAAAGGTGACCACGAAAAAATCCTCAGAGAGGAGAAGCAACATAAAAATTTGGAGTATGGAAAAAACTGCAGTCAGAGCTCCCATTCCACTTCCCATGAACAAAATTTCATTGGAAAGAAACTCTATCAATGCATGGAATGTGAAAAGAGCTTCCGTCAGAGCTCCCATCTCAGTTCCCAGCAAAGAATTCATACATGGGAGAAACCGTATCAGTGTGTAGAATGTGGAAAGAGATTCAGTCAGAGTTCCAATCTCACTTCCGATCAAATAATTCATGCAGGGGAGAAGCCCTATCAGTGTGTGGAATGTGGAAAGAGATTCAGGAGGAGCTCCGATCTCACCACCCATCAAAGAATTCATACAGGGGAGAAACCCTATCAGTGTGTGGAATGTGGAAAGAGCTTCAGTCAGAGCTCCCATCTCATTTCCCATCAAAGAATTCATATAGGGCAGAAACCCTATAAGTGTGTGGATTGTGGAAAAAGCTTCACTGATAGTTCCAAACTTACTTCCCATCAAAGAGTTCATACAGGGGAGAAACCCTATCAGTGTGTGGAATGTGGAAAGAGCTTCAGTCACAGCCACAGTCTCACTTTCCATCAAACAATTCATACAGGGGATAAACCCTATCAGTGTGTGGAATGTGGAAAGAGCTTTAGGAAGAGCTCCGATCTCACTTCCCATCAAAGAATTCATACAGGGGAGAAACCCTATCAGTGTGCGGAATGTGGAAAGAGCTTCAGTCAGAGTGCCCATCTCACTTCCCATCAAAGAATTCACAAAGGGGAGAAACCCTATCAGTGCATGGAATGTGGAAAGAGCTTTACAGATAGCTCCTCCCTCACTTCCCATCACAGAATTCATACAGGGGAGAAACCCTATCAGTGTGGGGAATGTGGAAAGAGCTACACTCATAACTCCTCTCTCACTTCACATCAAAGAATTCATACAGGGGAAAAACCCTATCAGTGTGGGGAATGTGGAAAGAGCTTCAGGATGAGCTCTGATCTCACTAAGCATCAGAGAATTCATACAGGGGAGAAACCCTATCAGTGTGTGGAATGTGGAAAGAGCTTCAATCAGAGCTCCTCTCTCACTTTCCATCAAAGAATTCATACAGGGGAGAAACCATATCAGTGTGTGGAATGTGGAAAGAGCTTCACTGATAGCTCCTCTCTCACTTCCCATCAAAGAATTCATACAGGGGAGAAACCCTATCAGTGTGGGGAATGTGGAAAGAGCTTCAGAAAAAGCTCCGATCTCACTAAGCATCAGAGAATTCATAAAGGTGAGAAACCCTATAAGTGCCTGATATGTGGAAAGAGCTTCACTGATAGTTCCAAACTCACTTCCCATCAAAAAGTTCATACAGGGGAGAAACCCTATCAGTGTGTGGAATGTGGAAAGAGCTTCATTTACAGCCACAGTCTGGCTTTCCATCAAAGAATTCATACAGGGGAGAAACCCTATCAGTGCATGCAATGTGGAAAGAGGTTCACTGATAGCTCCTCTCTCACTTCCCATCAAAGAATTCATACAGGGGAGAAACCCTATCAGTGTGTGGAATGTGGAAAGAGCTTCACTCACAGCCACAGTCTCACTTCCCATCAAAGAATTCATACAGGGGAGAAACCCTATCAGTGTGTGGAATGTGGAAAGAGCTTCACTGATAGCTCCTCTCTCACTTCCCATCAAAGAATTCATACAGGGGAGAAACCCTATCAGTGTGGGGAATGTGGAAAGAGCTTCAGAAAAAGCTCCGATCTCACTAAGCATCAGAGAATTCATACAGGGGAGAAACCCTATCAGTGTGTGGAATGTGGAAAGAGCTTCAGTCAGAGCTCCTCTTGCATTTTCCATCAAAGAATTCATACAGGGGAGAAACCCTATCAGTGTGTGGAATGTGGAAAGAGCTTCATTAAGAGTTCCTCTCTCACTTCCCATCAAAGAATTCATACAGGAGAGAGAGAGAAAGGGACATGGCATACATACAGAGATTAGCTGAAGAATCAAGAAGGGAAATGGAAATTAAAAGACTATGAGGAAATAAAAGATTATTTGCAGAATTGGTTACACTACAAACAATTACATAGAATGTACGAGGAAGATAATAAAGCATTTAGTTATACATTTTCTAGATTTCAAAAGGGAGTTATAGAAAAAGTGAAGCAGCTGAAGAAAGTGTATAATATTTTGCTAGAACAGGAAACAAAAGATGAGGAGGAAAAAATGGTCATGATCAAATGGGCACAAGATATAGGACATAACATACAACTTGAGGACTGGGAAAAATTGTGGAAAGTAGATTTGAAATTTACAGACTGTTCTCTTTTGAAAGAAAACTATATGAAAATGATGTATAGTTCATATATTACACCAGTACTGATAGCAAAAATGTATAAAACTGGGTCAAATATATGTTGGAAATATAAAGAAAAAGAAAGGACTTATAATCACATGTGGTGGGAATGTAGAGAAGTTTAAAAATTGTGGGAAATGATATATAATGAATTGAAAAAAAATGTTCAAATTGACATATGTAAAAAACCCCCAGAAGTATTCTTGTTAGGGATTGGAGGACAAGACCTGCCAAGGAAAAGAAAGAATTTATTTATGTATGCTAAAACAGTGGCGAGAGTCTTGTTCGCAGAAGGATGGAAGAATGAGGAAATCCCAATGAAAGAACAGTGGCAAGAAAAATTGATGACCTATGCGGAATTGCCCAAATTGACATATAAACTGTTTGAAAAGGACAACTGTGACTTCAAGGAAGAATGGGAACTTTTTACAAACTATCTAAAAAGACATCAAAGTAAACTGGAGTCCTTGGCAGGTTTTGAATAAACATCCATAAATTTATTAGTTGAACACATGATAAATAAGGCAAGGATATGTACAATTTTATAACATGCAGAAAACAATATATGCAAAGAAATCAGGGAGGGGAGCTGAGGGAAGTCCATGGTGGGTGGGAGAGGGAGGGTTGGGGGGAAGAGGGGAAATAATGTAATTAATTATGAGGGTGGATAAATTGTTATGCTGAAATTGTTTAATAAAAAATATTTTTTTACAAAAATTCATACAGGGGAAAACCCTATCAGTGCTTTGAATGTGGAAAGAGCTTCAGTCACAGCCACAGTATTACTTTCCATCAAAGAATTCATACAGGGGAGAATCTCTATCGTGTGTGGAATGTGGAAAGAGCTTCAATCAGAGCGGCAAACTAACTTCCCATCAAAGAATCCATACAAAGGTTGGCAAAACGTTTATACAGCTTTAGGAGCCAGGCAAAGGGTTAAACCATAGAGCCTAGGACTTGCCGATCAGAAGGTCGGCAGTTCAAATCCCTGTGACGGGGTGAGCTCCCGTTGCTCGGTCTCTGCTCCTGCCAACCTAGCAGTTTGAAAGCACACCAAAGTGCAAGTAGATAAATAGGTACCGCTCCGGCGGGAAGGTAAATGGCGTTTCCGTGCGCTGCTGGCCACATGACCCGGAAGCTGTACATTTCATAAAGTGAGATGAGCGTTGCAACCCCAGAGTCGGTCACGACTGGACCTAATGGTCAGGGATCCCTTTACCTTTACCTTTAAATCCACACCTTTATAAGCAGGCCTTTGGTTGATTGACATCTAATGCTCTTTTAACGTGGTGTTTTGTGTTGTAACATTCCTGAGACCTGTGGGTGTAGGGAATAGGCGACAACTCTTAAAGGCCTAGTGGTCCTTGCCCCACCCCCAATAAAATATTTAAGGATGCCACCCCCCAGTTTTTTTCAAACACAACCTTTTATTCTTCTGCAACTTGCCATACAATTTCTCTTTCAATTTGCCCTCTTAAAAAATAAAAAAAATAAACGCACAAAGGTCATGAGAAGAACAAAATACAAGGAAATACAAACATGGACAGGTCCCATCTTTGCGGGCAAAATGGAAAAGTTGCTTTGAAGCAGGCTTTCCCAAACTTGGGTCCCCAGCAGTTCCTGGACTACAGTTCCCATCATCCCTCCCCATTGGTCCTGCTAGTTAGGGATGATGGGAGTTGTAGTCCAAAAACAGCTGGAGACCCAAGTTTGCTTTAAAGGGAAAGTAGGCTGGCCCTGTGACACCCTCTGCTGGCCAAAAGCACTGCCCCAGAATCTGAACCACCCCAAGTACTGCTAATTGGAATTTATAGAGCACAAAACTGAAGTTTGATCGGCACTTCAACCACTAGGGAGCTTCTAGGGAGCTTCTAGGAGATGGAAAGCTAGAAGTGTTCTCCGGGGCAAGGGCAGCTGCTGGGAAATTGAACTACGGGCGCAAAATATTACTTTTTTAAAAAGTTGCTGCCATTATAGGCATTGCCATTCAAATGGAGTGCATGCATCCTGTGATCGATAGTGCAAACAGGCCTTACCTGGCCCCCCATCAATATTTTATACAAGTTGGCACCACTGGGTTGGTTGGTTTACAAATTAAATAAAGACATAAATTGCCTTCCTTTGCACATGTTCCAGCTTGCCAAGATCCTCATTTATGCTTTTTAAAATTTATTTGCCCTTCATCTGAAAATTTTACATTACAAACATACAGGATGAAAGCATGGCTTTCTCAAAAACAAGATAAGCGAGAGAAATCTCTCCTTTTCTCCTTTTTCTTTTTTTTTTTTTTTGGATGGAGTTACAAACTTTGTTTCAATAAAGCTTTTGAAAAGTCCTCTGTGATATTTATATGAGGAAGCTGGTAAAATGTGGGCTGAATGAGGTACATCACAGAAGGGGTGTAGCCCAAGACCACCTCCTAGATACATCATACTGTAGGAGACCCAGAGCTTAGAGGGTTAATAGCTTGGGAAGTTACATCCTGTCACTGGGGGGGTGTTCACATACGAGGTTTGTACACTTTGTTATGTGAACTACTTTACTTTCTGTTTAAGTTCAGAACCAGACATTTGGACATATGTTTCCAAAATGTATGTCAGAGTGTTCAGACAGCTTAGTGAAGCTGAAGTACTGTCTGAGCCAGAAGAATCTGGCAGATGGGTTCACTAAACCTTTGAGCTTCCAAAAACAGGGCAAGTTCTGTGAAGGGTTGGGTTTGGGGTAAGTGGTAGTGCTTACATTCACCCCAGCGATACAGGACGAAAGGGGGTGTGAGGAGACCCAGAGCTTATAGGGTTAATAGCTCAGGAAGTTATGTCCTGTCGCTGGGGGTGTGTTCACATATGGGATTTGTACGCTTTGTTATGTGAAATACTTTACTTTCTGTTTTGCTGTGAAGGGGAGAGACAGCATGTCAGCTCTTTCTCCCGTATTGCTGATTTATTTTGCCGCTGTACGATAAAGCTTCTTAGATTAGAAAGAAGCTGCGTATGGAGTATTTTTCTGCATGCCTGAGCTTTCTCCACACAGGCCACACCGATGTTCGCAAACTCTGCTAGACACCGGGAAAAGCACTGAGTCGCAGTGGAAGTGTGCCGGACATTAAATCTCACAGGTTATGGAGTCAGCCGCGTGGTTGTGCCTGTGTGTGAAGCAAGTCCAGCTGGAGGACCTGCCTGAGGGCAGTGGAACTTGCTGGTGAAGGAGCTACTGCAGGAGCTACTGCAGTGTGAGGCATGAGTAAGCTAGCCCCAGGGGAAGATGGCGGAAGTCCAGGAGTCCTACGCTGTCACATTTGAGAGACTTGATGGGCAGAAATTGGAGGAACGGTCCCGAAGAGCTAAGGCCTGGCTTACAGCCACGGGTCTATGGGCCTGCACTCAAGCTCCTCTGGTCCCAGCAGTGGCCGGCGCAGCTGCGCCTGCGATAGTGGCAGCTGCTGCTGAGCTGAGGAAAGACCAGAGAGCAATGGGATTGCTAGTGCTGAGCATAGACACCTCACAGTTACCCCACGTTGAAGGGTTAGAGAATGCCCAGGTGATTTGGCAGGCGCTGGAGTGGGTTCACCACCGAACCACAGAGGGAGCCAAGATCCATGTCACCAGAAGCCTTTTTGAGATGAAACCACGGCCTGGCGACAGCATCTGTGAACGCATTACAAAGATGCTAGCTGTGTTCAATAAATTACATCAGCTAAATGTGGTTTTTCCAGAGGAGTTAAAAGTCTAAATTCTTCTGAGCTCCTTTAGACAAGAGGTATGAGAACTTGTGCTTAACTCTTGAAGCAATGGCTCAGCCCAGTTAATGTTCCAGTTTGTCTCAGGTCGACTATGCAATGAGGAAGAACGTTGGCAGACAGAGGGGGGTGAGCCGGCCCAAGCTGTCCTGCTTCCAAGAGTGGGGGGGGGGGCAGTGAAAGAGGACACCGTGAAGGACTTTGCTACATGCCGTTGTTACACGCCGTTGTTATCGTTGTGGCTCAGAGACCCACCTGTGTAAACATTGCCCCAAGGAAACTGCTCAGTATGCCTCCAAGGCCATTGCCCCGGGCAACCAGATTAGGGGAACGGCCTGGTGTGGGAACGCAAGAAAAGGTCCCAAGGGAACTGACAGGGATGCCACATCACACCATCTAGGGCGTGGCAGTTTGAATTTGCCTGCAAGGAAAAACACCCAGAAGCTTTGTTGTTTGTTGTTTTGTAATAAAACATTTCATTTGGTTTTACACTGGTCTTGTGGTGTTGTAGTTTCTGTCATCTGCCACCAGAGGAAAAAACCCCTCTAACAAAAGGTCTGACAGGGTAACCCCAAAACCTTTTGAGTTGGTTCATGCAGACATCTGTGGCCCTATGTCTGTTGCAAGTCTGGGTGGGGCTAAATATGCTTTGACTCTGATAGATGACTACTCTAGAAACAGCTGAGTGATACCTCTGAAGGAAAGGGGGAGGCTGCCACCATGCTGAGGGAGTGGGTCCCCGCAGTGGAACTCCAGTTCTCACTGAGGGTCTGCAGTTTTCAATCAGCGGTGGGGAGTTCACTGGGTCTGCGTTGCAGAATTACTTTCGCCAAAAAAGGATACGTCACAGGCTGACAATTTCGCACTCACCACAGAAGAATGGGATGGCAGAAAGGCAGAACAGAACGCTCCAGGAAGTGGTGGAGGCAATGCTTTTTGATTCTGGCTTACCACAACGCTTCTGGGTGGAAGCTTGGAAAACAGGGAACTTCACTCTGAATCGTTCTTACAACTCCGTTGTAGGTGACACACCCTCTTTTCTGTTGTATGGTAAGAAATTGAAGCTACATTTCTTCCATGTTTTTGGGTGTGAGGCTTGGGTCCTTGTGCCAAAAGCCAAATGTAGGGAGTAGTAGGACAGTAGTCTATGTCCTGGTATTGATTTCCAGTATGTTAGTACAAATTCAAGAGGGGAGTCAGGGTCCCTCTGAGATTGGGATGGCTTCTGTGAAGCCTTCCTCCTAGAGGGAGCCCGCTCATGTTTTGAAGCTTGGGTACCCATTTCTTAATTCACGTGTGTCTAAGATAGAAAAAGGGGAAAGAGGGGTAGGTAAGGGTTTCAATTAAGGTATATAAGGGTTTTTCCTACTGTTTCTTCTATCCTCTGTTAGCTAACAATATCACAAGGTTTCTCCCGAGTCCTGAGCTATCTGGTTTTTTCCCCAGAGCTCCCCTACCTATCATTGCAAACTTAAGAAAGGGACCCTACTGGATGCCAGAGCAGTGTGATGCCAGCTCAGGCGACCCCTGGATAGAGTTTTTTGATCTGGAATACCCCCCTTGCTTTCAGAAGCGGGCTCACACACAATACACGTGTTACGTGACTCGACTGGTGCGGCTGGGGTAAGTCCCTTGCTTTCAATAGGACACCTGTTTGCAGAGAGGTGGGTTTTTGAGATGGTCCTCTCTGTCTTATTTTCAGGTTCCTAATGGGGTGGCTGGCTGGAAGTTCAGAAAAAGAGCTCCAACCCCTTGCTTTCAATGAGATGCCCATTGCGGTGAGGTGGGTTTTTAAGCTGGTCCTCTCTGTCTTACTTTCGGGCTCTCAATTGGTGCAGCTGGCTGGAGGTTTTAAGATAAAGAGATAGAGCTCAGAACTCCCTTCTCGAGTTGAGCAATGGTCCAAGGTCTTTCTCACAATCTAGACCAAGAGAAAGGTAAGGAAGAATGATAGATAAGAGAGCAGAGAATTCAGTTGCCAGGAGATCACCACTCCCTTCCCACCAGTGCACTGGATTTTAACCTATACTCACGTGTCTTCTGTTGTGATTCCAGGATTGATGAATAAGCCAGCTGGATCTTCCCTTGCTCCCTGGCTGGGCCCCTCAAGGCTAGCTGATTACTACCCCTGAAGATGGCCGGGGGTCCAAAAGGATTTTCCCAGGCAAAAGGGCCCATGCTGGCTGAAGATTTTAGGGGCCCCAGTCAGCCATACAGGAGAACCGCAAGCCCCACGTTGGTTGAGCACCAAATGTTACGGAAAATCTAGGTGTGAGTCTGCTCAGCCACCTAGCTCATCGGGCAGAGCCCGTGGGTCCCTGCAGAACAAAGGAGGAGTCCAGCCACCAACCGGAGCAAATTGCTGAAGATCTGAGTTTATTGGGCAACAGGTTCAAAAGGAGATTGAACCCTGAGGATGGGGTGACAAGGACTTTTATAACTTCCCACCATCTCCCAAGCTACAGTTTGAAAAACATCATCACTACATCACTACTACATCATCACTACATCTGAAAAGGGGAGGGTTATACAGGATTAACATGTGGGGTATGTAGGGGGAACATGCAAATACAGGATATGCATTGAGAAGCACATTCTAAGCACCTACAACAAGAAAACAATAGGACCTTGGTTCGCATAGTCTGCCACCTGGGCAGGCCTGGAGGAAAGAGCTTGGCCAGTGATTTGGCATCAATAAGTTCTTTCCTGTGTGTACGTGATCCCTCCCTCGGGGGATTATGGCAGGGACCAAGCGGTTTCCAAGTCCTTTACCAATGAAGCAGATTGGAGGTGGAATGGAGAGAATCGGTGAAACTGTTGCAAGGAGATAAGGAATACCTGTTACCCATTCAAGATATGCTCAACAGAACAGAATCAACAGACACAGAAATAGAGAAAAAGAAAGTAAAAATTTATTGCTGAGCAATAAAGACCCAGTGGAATGGTTTCCAGTGACTGGGCAATGAG